GTATTCTGAAGAGTGAGCTGTGCCCAGGTTTGGACAACGTCGACGGGGTGTCCATATTTCTTCTGGGCAAGGCTAGCAACTTCAGCTAGAACATCAATGTCGTAGCCCGAGATTCCGACCCGCAGAATGACCCCAGCGCGTTGAAAGTCCAGCAGTACACCGACAGCAGTGACAGCTTCATCCAAGGAGACGTACTCGACATCATGGCAGAAGACAACGTCCAAGTACGTAGTCCCAAATCGCTCTAATGACCTGGCAACAGACTTTCTGACCCAATCGGGGGAGTAATTAAACTCATTCTCCTTGATGCGGCCAACTTTGGTCATGAGTTCATAGTCGCTCCGTTGATATCTTGACGTGATACGGGGATCTGATAGTGCAGCGCCCATAAGTTGCTCTGAGGGCTCGTAGTATGGTGACGTATCAATAGTGCGAACGCCAAGTTCGAATGCGCGCAAGAGGATGTCGACGATAGGAAGAGATTCGGGGTCGGGGTTCAGTTGGTAGCTGAAGCCTGCTCCGCCCATCACCAAGGCTGGGGGTGAAGATGTCGGTGACATTGTATTGCGATGTTGGGTTGATGTGTATCTCTGAGGAGAAAACGAAGTAGATGCTTGTTAGATGGAGATAGTTGAAGTTATGAACAAAGAATTGTCTGTAACTATGACAGTTCCACTGATTGGTAATCTATATTGGTACTTTCAGTCGGGGTCCTAGATAGAAAGCAGTTGCTCAGACTTGAATGTTGCATTTAATATTTCTCAATGCGCTAAGTCGGCCCGGAGAGATTTTTTATCGCTACGTTCGCCTGTTATGCGTGGGATCTGCAGCTTGTCAGAGTACCATCGGTATCTGCTAGTGGACACCCTTGCCAGGGTTAGCTTGATTTTAAATATCCGTCGGTTAATTCTTTTATTCCAGGCCATCATCCCGCATTAGCCGTCCGAGACCCCGCTAGCCATGCCCAATAGAACCTTGCTGACAGTCATCGTGCTTTGGTATCTCGATTGTTGCTTGAGACATCTGCACAAAGACATTACTGCCGGGAATCTAGCGACAGATTGCGTAATGTCAGGTTTGATGGGGAATGCATTTTGGAAGCTCAGGAGTCATTCATAGATACATCTGTTCATACCATTATCCCACTGTCTTACACTATTGACTCTTGGAAGGAATTCTATAGACCTGGTACTCATCTCCTGCATTAACAGGCAAGATATTGAACGTTGCAAACCCATCTGGACTCTCAGGTTCCAGCCTGACAAAGGCCTGCGCTGCATGCTGCTGTTTCGTACCAACCCAATATGCCCCAGCAGGAAACCTCATTCTCTTCTTGCTCAACTCCGTATTCACTGTAGTCAATGCAATGCCCTCGTACTTGGTTTCTGCTAGCGTAGCAGATGTGATGTTGTACGCTTCGACTTCACCTTCAAAGTCGACAGCAAGCTCGTCCACGATAACACCGGCTGCTCTAAGGCGAAGGGCAGCGTTAGCCCAGGCTCTGCTGAAGATGTAGGCCTCGGGACGTGCGCGGGTGAGGTTACTCGCGGGAGGAGTATTGTTGCCGAACAGAACTGGAACCTCTGTGATGTTTCCAGTCTCGGCGTCGAGGTATGGCCATGTCGTCTCCATCCATCTTGGCTGATCCCTTACGATGATCTCGTGGCCGTTCTCGATAAAGTCCTTTCTCGCTTCTTCAACTGTTTCGTATACCAACTCCGCATTATCAGCGGCAATCTGCAAGACCGTCTCAGCAGCAGTCAAACCGGCTGTTGTTCTGCGCTGGAAGTTACGATCTCCGATTCCGATTCCTCTCGTCTCCGATAGAAAGGCCAGTCCTTGACCGAGGAAAACAGTGACTTCGCCACGAGTATCTGTGACAAAGTCTTGGAGTTTGATGGTTTCGTTTTCTTGTGATGCAACAACGTAGCCATTTGTTGTAAGGTTCTTCTTTCTTAAGGCGCTAGCAACTTCAGGGACAAACAGAGATTCCGCCATTGAACGAATATCAGCGTGGACATTAGGGTTCTTGAACGCCGAGAATTGGTTGTCCTGGACGGGGATATATGTCTTGTTCTCATATGTCACCCCTCTCCGGGCTCCATACTCGTGGCAATCAAGATGCACATGAGCATTGAATTTGAGGTTCAACTGTTTGACGTCCATGGTCTGTTGCGAAGCCATCTTAGTATGGTCTCGATTAGGGTCAAAGCTCGATGCGAGAAGGCGTTGGAAATAAGCCGACCCATCAGGATTATATCGTGGAAGAACAATAATATCGAGTTTTTCCAGAAGCCCAAGTGCCCATTCTGGTTCAGCATCCATTTTACCGAGGAGTGCAAGGAGCCCTTCTTCGCCAGCCGGTTCGTTCCCATGGACTCCGCCCTGCAGCCAAACTCGGACTTTGTTAGTGGTGTTACCCACTGGCGATGTCTGCAAGAGCGATTTTGATCCAGATAAAACAACATATGGAATCGAACGTCCTTCTTCAGAAGTAAAGACAGGATTGTGATATGTCATCCAATCGTTGCGCGATGCAAGCGTCCACAAGAACTGTTCCAGCGTCTGCTGGGAGTTTGGTGCCGATGTGCCATTAGCGAAGCCCGGCGCAACATTCTCAGGATTGATGAAGGCTGGAGAGTAGAGCTTTTGGTCTACATTCAGGAAGTTGGCGGCAATTTGAGGCGGATCTGCCTCAAAAGGGACTTTGTTTCCTGCATAAGAGAGCGCTGCGGCTCCGGAAAGGAGTGTTGAAAACACAAGAGAATGCATCGTTGTCTACGGGAGAAGGCTTCTTGAGACGCATGTTTTCTTCCTTTATATGTGTTCAAACCCCTCCGAGCCAAGTACCGGTGTTACACTGAGCTTCCCTCTTGATACTAGTAAGTGATTATCATTGTCGAATAAGATAAAGGTCGACTTGTAACCCCGCGATTTGGTGTATCGCCAAGCTCTGTGATCCACTGTTATCACTTGGCAGTCCGACCACGGCGGCCAACTTTGGCCTTACACTTGGAAAGTCGTATCTGATATCGGGGAACTCATTGGGGCACTGATTAAGGCATGCGTCTGTAGAGATTCGAGTGCGCTGGCTTCTGATGAGTCAAGGGAGTCGAACTGCTGTAGACGCATGGGACAAGAATAAGAAGACCAAGAGCAAAGTCTCTTTGACATTGAATGAAACTGGGGTATACTCTATTCAATCTTTCTTCGATAAATCTAGGAAAGCTGGCTGGGATTAAATTAAGCTTAGACTTAACCTTGCGCGATATTGGTGCGAGCAGAAAGCTAGAGGTGTTTCCCACACCAGTAGTTTCCCTGCGGATAGCGGGAACATTACCCGCCCCATCGGCTGGACTAGCGGATATGTACCATGGCCATGAATGATCTAATACTACCACTTTATCTTTCCAGCATGGGTTGAAAGTAAGTTGCAGATAAGCAGGGGAGCCTATATCAGGAGTCTAAGTCTTCGAAATGTGTAGTCCATGGAATAACGTTCAGTAGAGATCTTATCAATATCCAAGCGATTAGACAATCGATCAGTTTCCATAAGTCAGACGCTGGGGTGCCGCAGGTTGGGCTCCAATGCGGTTGTCGAGGTACGTATGTTGTTTGTGCCTTAGCGTTGTAGTAGCAGAGGCCACGAGAGTAACCTTGAAGACAGGTACGTGATATACAACGGGATTTATCCATTCCAGGTACTCTACAAGACTGGATCTGGTACTGTGAGTTACTTTGCACCAAAAATAGGATTTTCCGGGCTCAAGTTTGCAACGAAACGATGATGACAGCCTGAGCAGCTGTTGTGCCAACAAAGGCTCATTCGGGACGTGTCTCAGGCTTCAGAATCTTACAGAAATTTCAGTTTAGAAGAACACCAAACTAGCAAGACAAGAAAAAAAGAAAAGTGCGACCGAAGTCTTCGCTGTTATAACTACATTCCAAACTAATATGGCGAACGGGCTCTGAGGCGGTCAATGCAGTACAATCTCTCGGGTTCAATGGCCCATGCTCATTTTCTTCGGCACTTCTGGAATTTTGGTGGGCTAATAATGATGGAGCTCAGACTTAACTGAGCCTGTGTCTTGAACGCGCATCTGGTGTTACTATAAATAGATGACGTGAATTAGCCAGAGGCTGAGTAAAAATAGACAGTTTGTCAGAGATGAGGCTGAGCTCAAGATCTGGTACATTATGGATTGATACTGCTAGCCGCCCAATAGTAAGTACAGCAGCGTATCAAGTATACCGTATATACCATGGCGATTACCGACTCTGGCATTCTCTGCCTTTTTGTACTTTTGCTAGCTGAAAACTCTAGCCGAAGGTACGAGATATATGTCGGAAGGGCTGCTGCAGATATCAACGGCATTCGGGGCATATGAGAGAAGGGTAACTTAGCCCATAGAAAGCAAGCAATTGAGAGAATAAATCGCATTATTTATCCCTGATATAGAATTACCACAGTCAGAAATTTCCAGGTCGTTTACCATCAATGGTGATACGCGAAGCTTGTCCCACTTTTACGAGTCCAGATATCCCTGCTGGTAGTGGCTATACGTGTATAGCAAACGGGTCATCCGCAGTATCCGTACCTCAGCTCATTGATGCTGACATGTACTGCAAACTGAATGGCTAGTCAGAGGGCTTAAGATAAGCTTGAGACATTTGGAGTCCAGTCCCCCTCTTCTGGAGGAACTTGCCGCGTCAGGTGCGTGCTCTTATGAATTCAGGGGCCAAATCCGCGTATTTTAATACACAACTCCTCAATGCTTTCTATAAGTACTTCAGCAATCAGGATAAATAATCTTTGCTGTTTTCCCATCATGTGCTTCTAATCTTACATTTCCTTTAGTTTGTTTACTATTCATTGCATTTCCTTCTCTTTTTCATCTATTTACCTGTCCTTACAGAATAAATCGCACTCATTTGCATAAGACTTCATACTCCACAATCGTTTTCTTTTTCTTCTCCACTATCACTCTCTCAAAATAGCAATGGCAGGTTTTACGTTCTACAATTACGAGCCCTCTTTACCAGCGGCAGCCGTATTTGTCATCATATTCACCACCGCCGCTCTGATTCACTTATGGCAGATGTTCAGACATCGAACATGGTACTTTATCCCATTTCTCATCGGCTGTCTCTGTAAGTACCCTTGTCTTCACATCTATGGAGAATGCTGACTCTCCACAGTTGAGGCATTTGGCTACGTCGGCCGTGCGCTCTCCGCAAACGAAGCTCCAGACTACACCAAAAACCCGTATATCATGCAGTCGATATTGCTCCTCCTCGGTCCTGCACTCCTCGCCGCGTCTATTTACATGATATTGGGCCGGTTGATAGTTCTTTTGGATGCCGGCCACTTATCCCTGATTCGAACAAAGTGGTTGACCAAGGTCTTCGTCATCGGCGACGTGCTTTCGTTCCTGGCACAGAGTGGAGGTGGCGGTATGCTCGCCTCAGCAAAGGATAAGGATAAGGTGAAAATGGGCGAAAACATGATCGTTGGCGGATTGCTCATTCAGATCGTCTTCTTTGGCTTCTTCATGGTTGTCACGGTTGTCTTTCACATGCGGATTCGCTCTCGTCCGACTTCTCGATCTCTTGTCCTGAACACTCCTTGGGAAAAGCTGATTTTCATCCTTTACGCCTCAAGCCTTTTTATTCTTGTTCGCTCAGTCTTCCGTGTCGCAGAATATGTTCTTGGGAAAGACGGAGCACTGCAGTCCAAAGAGTATTGGATCTATATCTTTGATGCGACGCTCATGTCCTTTGTTGCTATTCTCTTCAATCTCTTTCACCCTAGCCAGGTAATCGACAATCTTGGGGCCGAAAAGCCTAGATATACGGTAGACGAGTATCCCTTGCATAGCGTATAGTTTACTCAAATCTTACGGAGAGTTTTAGTGGGTATATCATAAGGCATCTCCATCATCGGACACTCGGAAACATAATCGGATGTATGTATTAATAGAAAAAGTCCAACGAGAGCTTTCAAGGCACTGCAACATGCTACCGAGTGCTTGTTTGCCCCCGTTTTCTCAAGTCCCATTCGCAGGCTGTGTATAGAGATGGCCATCGATTGTGGTGTTCATGGTCCCATTTGCCTGGAATATGTTCTTCAAAATGTCAATAGTGAGGTGAAAGCCACCCGGGCTTGTCTTCTTGGTATTCTTTGAGCTACCAGTTTGCGTCAGGTCAGAATACCAATCGACATGACTGAGCGTCAGAGATGGAAAAGTGGCGCGAACTGTTTCTGATCCTGACAGAAACGTTGATCCATCATCTGAGAAGTGATGATAGACTACACTGATCTCACTGATAGATGCATCATCTCCCCTCACGATCTCAACATCCGCATATCCACAACTGAGCCCCATCAGTGTATAGTTTCCAGGTGTTGGCTCGGAACGCTGTGGGTCGATTTCTCCTGCAGAGTATTCAACACCCCACGGGACCTCGTCTGAGACGGGATCGACTGGAGGAAGATCGAGGGGCTCCCGAGTAGTAAGAGTTGCCAATACCACACGCACTCGTCTACCTCCTGGCTCCTTAGACGGATAGCATTGAAGCGGGTTTGTCCCCCCGCACGCAGGTGGAAGTGTTTGAGCCTCCCCGTACACAATCTGGGTGCCGTCCGGAGACCATGTCGGGTCAGCCATTGCATTCCACTCCGGGTCATTATAGTCGCCACTACCAGGAACACCCTCCCCTTCGCCGTTTATCTTCTGCCCAAAGTATTCCCCGCGATCACCATACCTATCCAAAAGACACGGCCTGAAGAATCGTCTCTGACCGTTGTTTCTTGTCGACGCTGTAATTGATGTACTGACAAGATCGGTAATTGGTGGAATATGTCTCATGCCAGAGAGCCACATTTGACGATCTGTTCCCCGGGTATCCAAAACCGCCATCCAATTATCGTCGGGTGAGATAGCAATAGGATCGCAATATTCTGGGTGGCTTGTAAGTCGCCGGACTTTGCCAGTCTGCAAGTGAACAGCGAAGACATCAATGTTGGAGGACTCGGCCGGGTAGCCGATGTACGTAGCTTCAGTTCCCCTGCCGCTGAAACCACGAAGCTCGCCTACAGTTATGGCGTTCCGACTTATGGTGATGTGCTTACCACGCATCGCAATAGGTTGGTCCGCTTCTGGCTTGAAGAGTCGGGTGACTTTGATGAGATCGTAACGTGGGACAAGTGGTATGCCCACCGCTGGCTCCGCGTTGAACTCTAATCTTCCGAAGTACGCGTACTGACCGATCTTTCGACTGTTGGTTGTGAAAGCATTGAACCCAAGATGGACGTCGTCGGGGTGCAAACGCAGTTCCCGAATAGCGCCGCCTTCCCGTGTCCCATCAGGACTTTGATTCCACCGTATGGGATAAACATGAGTGCGTTCGGGTGTACAGGCCGCATCAGCCAGTTCATGTTCTCCACAGTCGAGTATATTGGTGCCAAATAGAACTCTCTTTCCGTCGCCAAATGCCTGGGGGTAGCTATATGTCGGGTTCATTCCTCTTGTGTTTTTCTCACCCACTCCACAAGTGAGACACTTCCATGGACTTCCACTGGGGAATACCTTGCCATCGGTCTTGACGACGATGATCTGACTGCCATTGTAAACGCTAGAAGTGTCCGGAGATGACGGAGCGCCTGTGAAGGTGACGTGGGCCAAAACGTGCTTTCCATCAGGTAAGAAGCCACCCGTTTGGAAGTCCGCGTTCGAGGCAAGAGTCATGCATCCAGTGCCATTTCGATTCACTTCTGGCGTGCAAGCACCGGTGTCATTGCTTGGTGCAACTGGTGGCAGGGGAAGTGTTGAAAGGCTGATGGGTTCTGGATTTGGTGGGGCATCTTGCGCTTTGTCGGTCGACATAATAAACTGAGAGCTTGGAAGTGCCAGTGCCCTCCCTACGCAGCTCAGTATGATTAACTGGCGGCAATTCATTCTGAATATTGATATCTTGCAGTTTTTACGCGGCTTTGTGTGTACAATGAAATGTCTGGCAAGGCCGTTACTTATAAGCTTCGTACTGTCTCTCGAGACTCGCAGGTCGCAGCTTTCTCGAATGTTAGCTCAAGACTTCTATTCCCATTTTTAACATCAGGCCTATGAATACACAATAGCCTGAACAGGATCTTATCTACATACAAACTATTACTAAGAAATTTGATTCTCTATAATATAGATAACCTGCCACTGGATATAGATAAATCCATTACATTACTAGAAATTCTCTCTGATGCCTTTTGTACTGTGCTAATACTGGAGTGCACTAATTGCTAGTACAGAATAGTGAATAGGAGCGAATCCACAGCAACGTCATTTGGCATTGACCCGTATAATGCCTAATACGCGGAGGTCCACACTATACGCGTATTTCGTATTTGGTCATTCGCGCGCAATTTCTTCCCCCTTAACCTGGACCATCAATTTAGTGGAATTTGCAACAATGGAGGCATTACCAACTGCTTAATCGTCTTGACGATGTTTTAGATCCCTTAAGTAGTGTATTTTAATTGAAGGAATCACCATGTAATCGCTACTTTCAGCTCTTACCATAAATTTACGCGTCAATGTCCAAAATGCGTAATTACTCTCGTTAATGCTGTTTTGCTGGTCACACGGAAGTATAGAAAATGATCCTAATGCAACTATTGCTTTTATCTATCATATTCAAATTTCTCTCTGTAGAGTCCTTGCTTAGAGGTTTACATTAAACTTTAAAAGTACTACATAAATTAAAATTCTATAAGACTTCGAAAAACCTTGCGCACTATGATCCCGTCATACAGTGACGACTTTAACTTCGGGTCCTTCAATCTTCTTGACTTTGCGGCCCTCCCACCACGACATCAGACCAGCCAACAATCCTGTACCGCAACCTAGACCGATGAAAGTACCAGTAGCCCAGCTCTTTTGCATGGAGTCAGCACGTCAACCTCGAATTGCTTGGGGGGTTTGGAAGACGTGAACTTACGGGACGGTCAATGCGATTATAACCCCACATGAAATAGCACAAAACAGCTTGCAGGAATGTATTCAGCACCATCATATAGATAGTGAATCCCAGTTTCCAAAGCGGTGTCGGAGGCGCCTTCTCGCCAGTGAACGTGGTTGAACGAGGAAGAGTAGTAGTCGAGTCAGCCGGGCTTGTGCTCTGTTCCGTGGCCCAGGCAGGAGGTCGGAACCAAGCCTTGTTTTGTTCTGTGAGCTTCTGCATGGCAGGGACATCCTTCCAGAAGACCGCGCGGGTGTAGCGGTACCAGTCGCGGAAGCGCCACGGGGCAAGACCAAAGCCCGTCACGCAGAAGAGGGCGTTGAGGATCTGACTGTCTATCTCAAGCCATTTCTTACGCGCTGAGTTGTTGTCGTTGGCGCTGGGATGGTTCATGGCTGGCGCGACATTAAGCAGGAGGAAGAAGAGCATTGCCTAGAGATGAAGAATTAGAAGTGTACAACAGAAGGATATCGAATCATTAATCCACTTACGCCCCATGCCTGTAGAACGTCGATTAGCTAGCTGAGCTTACGGAATGACCGGACAAGAGCTACTTACCACAATATTGAGACCGTAGAGCGTGATGAGGAAGCCAGATGGCGTGAGAAAGAATTTCCAGAAGGCCTTTAGGCCGTTCATGATGGTTGGTCCCCATTTCTCCTTCTCATCAGCCTTGTGCTTCTCATACAGGCTTTTCCGTCGCTCCAATCGCTGCCGGTGCTTTTCGCGCAGATGGAAATGATGGTGATGGTGCTCTCCAGGTGCCTCGGTGATAGTCTCCTCCCTCGACGACCCCTGCTCCACGTCGACCTCCTCAGGAATTGCGACGGGCTCCTCGGTGAAAGGGTCCTTGTCAAACTTTGGAATCACACTGGGTCTGCGGGTGAGCGTCGCTGTCCTGACCAGCGTGAGTTCGCCGTCTGGCTCGGGGACAGCGTAACGCGCAGAGTGGCCTTGGGCATTGAATTCGATCTTATCGCCGCCAGATTCGGCGTCGCGGAGTTCAGTGAGATTGGGCGCTTGTGCGATGGCTGTACCCGTGGCTTGCCACATGCCCAGCTGCGGGTTGGCATTGATGATGGATAGCGACGCGCCGCGGACGCGACCGACGAAGCCGTTGTTTGGCGGCGGCTCCGACATTGCGGCTGATACTTAAGGAGTCTCCTGCCTCTGGTGATATCGTCGAATTTGAGGCTCAGAGACGATTCAATTGATGGTGCAAGGTTCGTTGGGGTAAATCTGACGGTATTGATTTAATCTTATTTCTTCGGAGTCGGCACTTGGTTGCTTCCGGTCTGCTCATCTTACTGAATGCAGTAAAACGCCGGCGTATGTTACACCGGCAAACAACCAGTCATCGATCACGATTCCGGCTTTTACCCGCTTAATCATCAGATAGAGTTCTAACCAGAGCGAGGGATGAACAAAACTAACTAGATGCGATTTAGATCGTCGGCGTCTAAAAGTGCCGACTCCGCGGACAATCCTGGTCTGTTGATCGCTCCAGGGCCATGGAAGGACGATGCTGCTGAGAATTGTGACCTAAGTGTAGTATGTGTCGCTTATACGGTTGCGGTCCAGAAGTATCAGAATACCAATTCATACAACCGTTAGTTCGCTGCAGGCTATCCTATAAACAAACCCACCTGTAATCGATGAAAAAAATCGTCCAAGACGTGTGCCAAACGAAAAAAATGAGCATCAAGAACGACATTGACCATGCCATTCCATCTACCTATCGCTATGACGGACAACATCGTACAGAGGTGGCACAGCAAACGGACGATCAAACGCAGCATTTTGCACGAAAAACAGCTTAAAACATTTCTGCATCTGTTTGTATAGATAAAACAGGCTATGGTGATTTGCAGACCAAACTCTTCGAATCTTCCGCAATACTATTACTCCAGACATAGCACTCCAGCATACTACCACCACACAGATAAGTACCATGCTCCGCGCGATTCAACATCTTCAAAACATCCTCTAAAGGCCCAGGGTAGCCCATAGCGCGAGTCCACCAACAACCCACGGAAACATCATCCTCACAGCCATCTGTGCATTGAACTCCTGCATGAGGTCCAAGACATTCTTCGCACTGGTATTCAAAGGTTCAGTCTCTGAAGACTTTGAGTCCGCAATGTCCAGAAGCTTGTAAGACGGGCCGAGCATCACCTTTCGCACCCAGATCCAACCTAGGGGCATCAGTCCTCCTGCAGTAGCCCAGATCTTCCAAGACAGAGCAGAGCTGTTTTCCTTGTACTCTCCATAGGCGATAGTGCCGATCACAATAATTGTGGTCAGGTCAACCCATGGCACAGTGGCTGACATGGACCAGTAAAAGTATTCCCATTGCTTCGCAGCGTCTTTGGGCGACTTTTGGACGATTGGGTAGACTGAGGGGAGAAGACGGTAACCTGATGTCATGGTACCGCCGTTGATGAGACTGCCAGCGATGGCGATACCCTTGAGGGCTGGGAGATAGGCATGAAGGGAAGACATATTTGTGTCCTTATTGAAGGGTGATGACGAGAAAGAAGTCGTCTGTGACTGCCTAAAATGAAGAAATGAAAAATAAATCGAATACTTGCTGGTGGCCGTATTGGGCTTTTTCACTGCACTCGAAAGAGGAACCCGTTGTTATAGTAAGGTAGCCTTGAACAGTCGCGAGGGAACCGCCAGCATTTACATACAAGCCTTCATGCATAGAAACCACTGGACAAAGTTGTGATCGCACTGTAAGCCAGACTGGCACTCATCACAATACACAGGTAAGGTCCTGGTTGTGCACAGCCCTTTGGCTCCTAACTCTTTCAGGAACTCCAGCTGAGATTATACTGGAAGTCTGCAGTTCGCCACTGGACAAGCCGCTGACCGGTTGAGATCCAATGTGACTGTTGCAGGGACAGTGGAGGGAGCTGAAAGTCTCGACGCAGCTGTATCTAATGATAACAAACGATAGCTCACAATTCGCTCATTATCATGTTCACTTGAACTGAGAAAATTACAATCCCCAAGACGTTCTTGGCTGCAGCGTTCAGGGTTGCAATATTGGCTTTAGCGCCTGCCCCCGGCCTGCATTAGCTTTTGCAATAGTTGGTTACCCCTCAGCGCTAGCTTACGGTAGGCCGTGCTCTGCTCCTCTTGGGTTTAGTCCTCTTTCAGTGGCTGGCTGTTCTGTAGAATTTGAGCATCTATGGACTCTCAGAAACATGGTATCTTTCCAAAAGCCCATTTGGTCCGAAAGAAGATAGGGCTCGTATCGGAGCTCCTGAAATTGAGGCCCTCCAAGCGGCCGATCATTGTGGAGTAAATACAAAGTTATCTTAGGAGATTTTCTCCAGTGACGGGGCATTGGTAATTATGCAGCAAGTCTTAGGCAGTTCCCCGGCGATTATGTTGTTTGGAGGGAAAGTTTGCACGTGAGCTTGCATTTTGGTCGTTGCTCACAAGTGGAATCAGATTTGTACAGAATAATAAAATTGATAATACGATTAATGACATGATAACTAAAACTCCACGCCAACAGCAGTGACCAAATTCTTGACAGCACTAAAGAACTCAACAAGACCCATCGTCCACCATGATCTCCTCTTCCAGCCCTCTTCAATAGGCAGTCTCTCTTCTTCAAAGATAGCTCTGACATACTTGACGGGAATCGTCTTTCCATCTCCAAAACAGCCCATCATCAGTGCGATTTGACCGCAGTTGACTTGATGTTCAGCTGGTCCATAGACCAACTCTGGATTATCCTCCAGTTGACGTGAGATGCGGGCCTTGATGAACCGGGCAAAGTCTTGAGTGGTGAGAGTTTCGCCATCAAAAGAATAGTCCAGCATCTCTTCGATCAAGTCTTCTTGAGGATCATTGTTTCCCTGCTTCTGAGCAATGTCTCTTCTTGATAAGGAAATATCATGCTCGATAGCGCCGTGGGAAGCAAGGTTAACAAGATTGAGATACTTCTTTCCATTACTGATTTGCTCCTTGTTCCAGCAACCGAAGTAGTCAAAGAAGGAGTAAGGGTTCTTGATGAGGGACCAAATCCTCTGCCATGTGCCAACAGGCTTTTTCATGTACGCCTTGGCTGGGTTTTGGTACTCAAAGTAGGTGGGTATGGCAAAGACGGAGCCAAGAAGAGAACTCATGCCGACGTGCTTCATTGAGGCATTGAGATCATCCATGAGAATACCGCGTCCGCTGCGCTCAAGATAGCCATGGTTTGCAAGAGCATTCACGACGGGGCAGGGACTTCTGCTGGCACCAGGAGGAGCTTTTGCAAACTCTCCAACGGCGGGTGTAGGAGGCATTGGAACGATGACCGACATGGACTTTGAGGGTCTTGAAGTGATGGAGAATGAATAAGTGAAGGTAGATGAGCTGATTTCGCAACAGCAGAAGGTCGTGGGATTGTCACTCCTTGAATCAATACGAGCTGTTATACCATGAGGGGAAGAAGCTACAGGTTCACTGGCGAGGCTCAGTTATCAATGACCAATGGTTTCGAGGCTAATTACACTGGGGTCTAGACCTGTAGCGTCGTATTCGTGGCGGCCAGTTGAGCGCTGAGCATTTCCAATAGTCCCAAGAGCAACCGCACTACTGAAGCCAGAGTTTGAGACATCGCATATACGCGGGGGACGGGAGGGAATCAGATGCAAGAGCTGCATTACTGCTTACGTCTTGTGGCTTGCTGAAACTGGCAACCTATCCACTCAATTCGGTAAAGCTACTGCAGCTAGGTCTCTCCTCACAGGCGGGCGGACGGTATGTATCAGCAGGGGATCACAGCCTCAAGATAAGCGCCAGATACCTGAATGGTTGATAACCGGGTTAACGGGAAATTCCTTGGTGCATTAGTGCACAGGACAAGTACAATTTCTCCTGTCACACGGCGTTTGGAGGCCTTGGAACCGCTGGAAGAGGAAAATGATGATGCCGATCTCACCAACGGCTAACGATGCACGCGTTTTCAGCTCCGAAAGTGGCCTGAGCACTTCAGCGAGTCTGGACAAGGCGCTATTTTAGACCCGTTAGCGGTCAGCCAGCCGCAACGGGCCGTGCGGAGAGTTCAGTGGATGGACTCCCAGGTGGCTGAGCGGGGAATGTGATAATGATGCGGCATTGGGTTAAAGCCGTGATAACCGCTGCTCGTATGCGTGTCCATGTTCAGCTCTGAACTTTGTCTCCAATGATCTGATTTAGTCATTTTTGGGCTTAAGACTAGGCTTTTGTGATAGCTGGAGGACCAAATGCATGAAATCAATAGTGGCAGACTAAGAAATGTCACGATGACGAATGAGCAGTACACAAATGTCAGCCACGCCGCATGCAAGGTTCGTCAGCTCGAGAATTATGAGGGGATTAACCAGAAACATGGTGAATATGATATTATTGGCGTTGCAGATGCCGAGATATGGATAGCAATGCCCGAGAATTGGCTTTGATAGAGCGGAGTAGGCGAAGCAGGGTCTGATCGATAGTTTGTCTTCACAGTGCATTCACAATCTCCACGGACATGCTTAATCTACACTGACTGATAATAGGCCCCCAGGCTGCACCAGCTCAAAGGAAGCATCGCAAACCATTCTGTTGTTTCACACTATTTCATTTCATTTCATCTCCTCGTCTTTAGTTCAAAAGAGTGTGCACAAGTCACTTTCATCAAGTGTACCTCCCGCTCCCGTCTTTTGCTCGTGCTGTCTTTAGCAATACCACAGAGCATTACTGACAGTCATCATGAATGGTCACTCTCACCCCTCACGTGAGCCTGTGATGAGCAAGCAAGATGAGGATCTGATGCAACTCACGTTGCAACTTAGAAACAAGAAGGAAGCTGAGAAGTATGCCAAGTATCACGGCGACAAGCTCATTGGAGTATGTATCACTGCCGACATTGTATCATGTTTGCTGACGACTATAGAACCCCATTGCCCCCAAGGTTGGCTTATGGGAAGATGTCAAATCCGTGTTCTCCAAATCCAGCAACTGGCCCGCCTTGAAGAGAACGGCAGATGGCATCATCAAAGGCACTGGGCTTGATGTAAGTCGGCCCTGTATTCGATAACTCTGCGTGCTGACAATGCGTAGGGACAGAGTCTTGCGACGATCGCTGGCAGTCTTTCTGACTACAGTGTCCAACGCCAGAAGCTGATTGATGGCCAAGTCAAAGACAAATACGACAAGATGCTGCACCGTAAGTTTACACAAAATTGAGACAGACTGATGACAGATGCTAATTTCCTCAGCGCCTTTGACATACCTTGGCGATGCTTTCCAGTATCGAACTGCCGATGGCAAGTTCAACAGCGCCATGAATCCCCATCTCGGTCAAGCTGGTGCCCCATACGCCAAGACTGTCCCGTCAAAGACTGCGCCATTGGGAGCTCTCCCTGATCCTTCTGATCTCTTTGATAAGCTCATGGCACGAGAAGAGGGTGGCCGCGAGAGCCAGTCTGGACTCTCCGCCATGCTCATCTATCACGCAACCATCATTATCCACGACATCTTCAGAACTAACGACAACGACAAGAATATCTCTGACAGCTCGTCGTATCTCGACTTATCCCCTCTCTATGGATACACCACTGAGATGCAGCGCAAGGTTCGAGATGACAAGTTCAAGCTTGGTCTCTTGAAGCCTGACACGTTTGCTGAGGATCGTCTCCTTCGACAGCCACCTGGCGTCTGCATCATGCTCGTTATGTATAACCGCTATCATAACTATGCTGCAAGACAACTTCTCCGCATCAACGAGAATGGCCGCTTTAGAGTTCCTGCCATGTATGAGAAGACTAAGCTTGTCTCTTTGATCAAGGAGCATCTTCCTGACAGGGACCAGTATGGGCAAAAGCTGCCATTGGATGAGACAATACGAGAAGAAGTCGAGACGATGTGTAAGAAGTACGAGGATCTCTGGAGACAGGTCCGCGCTGCTAGGCCTGGCGATGCACCTTACGCTCCCCCCAAGACGCCTAATGAGACAGAGAAGGAGAAGAAGAAGCGAGAGGAAGCTGAAAAGGCGCGTCACGACGCTCTGGAGGAGATTGAGAAGTTCAACAAGTCCCAGTTGAACCAAGACTTGGAAAACCTGGCCAACGACCTCAAGCTTCTCCTCAAGAAGAAGACCATGAAGCTCAAGGATCACGATCACCAAGCCGCCAAGGACTTTGAAGCGGCATGCGATGAGTTCAAGGATGCTTGGGAAGCAGCTTGGAACAAGCAAGATGATGACCTCTTCAACACGGCTCGCCTCATCACGTGCGGCATGTACATCCAGATCTCAGTCCACGACTACTTGAGGGCGCTCATGGGCTTCCACCAGTTCGACACCAACTTCACGCTTGATCCTCGCGCCGACTTTGATCAGAAGAAGACGAGCCGTGGTATTGGCAACCAGGTCACAGTCGAGTTCAACCTTCTCTACCGCTTCCACTGTGCCATCTCTCTCAAGGATGAGAAATACACTGAAGACTTTATGAAGAATGTGTTGCACTTCAGGGACCCGAGCAATACTTCTCTTCCCGAGTTCTTGGGGACCATGGCTGCTATCAAGCAGAAGGCTGCTGAGGATCACAAGTATGGCAAGAGGGAGCCTGAGCCATGGGAGGTCACCTTTGGTATCCCTGATGACGACGACAAAACAGCACCTTCCAATGGATCTGGGTCGTCTGGCAATACCTCGGACAGTGGTATTGCTCTTAACGGTGCTTCTTCCAACGTCGAACCACAGAAGGTCACCAAGTCCAAGCACTTCACTCGCAACGCCATCACCAACCTCTTTGATGACAACCAGATGCTCGAAGAGCTTACCTCGGCTATGGATGACCCGATCTCTAACTTTGGACCCCGCAACGTTCCCAAGTGTCTCAAGTCTGTTGAGATCATGGGCATTCTTCAAGCTCGTCGCTGGGAGTGCGGAACCTTGAACGACTTCCGAGACTTCTTCGGCTTGCCTAGACACCAGTCGTTTGAGAGTGTCACCAAGAACGTTGAGATCCAGAATGCACTCCGAGATCTGTATGAGCATCCTGACAAGATCGAGCTCTATCCTGGTATCTTCTGTGAGTCTGATGAGTACATGGGCTTGGACCCCGGTCCTAGTGAGTCAAGCTCTGCTCTTTGGTCAGCCATCTTCTCAGATGCCATCACCCTTGTTCGATCTGATCGTTTCTACACTGTTGACTGGAACACCAACTCTTTGACTTCTTGGGGCATGAAGGAGGTCACTCCCAACAACGAGGTTTGCAAGAGTTCAGTCTTCCACCGCCTCATCCAACGTGCTTTTCCAGGCTGGTTCCCCTCCAACACCATCCGCTTCTTCCATCCTTTCTACACCGCGAAGCAGAACGGTATCTATGCCGAGGCTCAGGGCTATGGTGACTGGTTCAAGGAGACGGTTGATCACCCCAAGGTCGCTGTCGCTGCCCCAGTGCAGAAACCAGAGAAGCCGTGGTATCTCAGCAAGTTTGATGACATCAAGATCATCTTGCAAGGGGAGAAGGCTAAGAACTTCACCAACCCTGCCTATTACTACAAGGCAAATCTGCCTCAAGTAGTCAGAGACGTGCTGAACCCGATCCCTGAAAAGAAACCACCACAGTACACATCCGCGATTGATGATTACGTCAAGGATGTGGAAGTAGACTTGAAGAAGTATCTTGACAACGAAATGAGACGGATTGTCAAGAGAGAGTCGATCTCTATGACCAACTCGACATTCCAGATCGATGCTACTCGAGAGTGAGTTTATTTGTACCATTTGACCTCAAGATGCAACTGACCCTTCATAGCTTTGCCATTCCCGTTGTCACTCGATACGTCGCCGATTTCCTCGGCTTTGGCAACAAGCTCTTTAAGACCGCTACCGAGGCCAAAGACACCTACAGCGAGAATGAGATTTACCAGCACATCACAAACTGCCAGATTTTCCTCTCGTATAACGCTGACGAGACCAAGTGGTTGCAGCGTCGTGAAGCTTTCAAGGCTTCCATGAAGAAGCTCATTGAGCTGACCCAGAGAGGAACGATCTGGGAGGCTGGGCAGTGGGACATCACCAGGGCGTTGTTTGGCAAGAAGGAGACTAATGCCATGCATGACCTGGGAGTATTTGTTGCGAAGCAGGTTTTGGGTTATGAGAAGGAACAGGGCAAAGCTGCTGCTATTCTTCTTCTCATTTGTCTCGACTTTGCTTACAATGCGGTCGTCTCGGTAGGTTCCTTCAGTGCTTGGCTTGATAGATATGCTAACAGTTATAGTTCACTGCTACGTTGGACGGCTACATGAGGGACCTCTATGCAGCGGCTGATGGTCGTCCGCATTTTATGCTTCTGGGCCCTGGCAGCGGTCGTCCACAGTGGATTCAAGTCCAGGAGTGCGTCTTCAGTGATAAACCAAACGCAGATGAGGAGCTTGAGAAGATGGTCCAGACAATGGCTCGAATCACCGTTCGACAGCCCATTGTTCGCAAGGCGGAAAAGGAAGGCACATATAACTTTGCTGGTGTGAAAGGAGGAAAACAAATTACTATCAAGGAAGGTGAAGCTGTTATCCTCGATCTTGTAAGTTTGTGCCACTATCCGCTTGTCGAGAGTACGGACTAACCAGTTTCCACAGGCCAAGGCTGGTGAAGAGCCTGAAGTAAAGAACAACAAAGAGAAGCGAGAGCTTTTGATGTCTCAGCTCAGCATCGCTGATAAGTTTGGCGTCTTTGCACCCCGACGTGTTGTCACGATCTCTCTGACCTCGATGATCAAGTTCGTCGCTCAGATGAAGAACCCTCGTCGTGGGCACGATGCGCAGGGCAAGCTCAAGAAGATTAACCTTGACTCTACGCCCGAAGGCTACGCCAATTACATGGCTCCTGGACGAGTCAGCTGGATTCAGCAACAGGCCAAGAAGCTGAAAGGCCCTGGAGAAGCAGAGGACATTGTTACCGAAGGCAACTTGCGGCCGCAGACTGACACGTATCTCACTCCAACTTGGGATGAGTTCGTTCCCTTCCCCATGACATGGAAGATCCGCTTCGATGGTTTCGGCGAATCGGACTACAAGGTTGGTACCAATGACTACGGTAGAGTCAAGACGATGCCTACGCTTCCTGATTTCTGTCCTCCGTGGTATCAGCCCCAGGGTCCAAGCACAGAGGGTGGTGCGTTTGCTTCTACCGTCTGCATTTGTGCTGATGAGGGAGCTGGAAAGGCGGAGGTTGACGACAAGGGTGAGAAGGTTCACAAGAAGGGTTGTCCTTGTGTTGGAGGCTCGAAGAAGAAGTCCAAGCTGAAGACGGCTCAGCTTTCGACGGGCTGTGGATTGAGTGATAACTGTGTTCATAAGTAGTGCTCTTGTTACTTTCTAATATTAATTGGTCTCTTGTGCAGCTATGTGTCACTGTGCATTGCCTTTGGTCATTAATGTTGAGGGATGTCGGATTGTCCAGATTGTACGACGCTTCCGCTCGCTTTGTAATCCCTACTTACTACGTCAAATACCTGGTGGAATTTCTACCAACATGTCTAAGCCAAATTATCAATTGGAAGGAATTTACGAGACAGCCTGTCGCAAGCAGTGTGCTGGATCTGACCGAGCCACGATATTCGACAGCCCTACACTGAAGCCGTCGTTTATTTTAATCCATGCCATATAACCGCCAATATTTCGCTTTTGCCTATTAACACGCGCAACCATTATCGGCATTTGGTCTTATTTATACGATAAGTGGGATGGGCTATGCATTATCTATATGTTACGACAAGTGGGATGACTGGGGCTAGCAATGACTCAGGCTCAAGTTCTTAATATCTTGGCAGGGGAAAATTTTACAACAGGATCGGCCAAGCGTATGACGAATGAGTCTTGGTAGATAATCCGGGTTTGTGTTAAGCGCTTCCCATTACCCCCTCAGTTTAACATATGCGGTTTGACTGTAATGAGTACCATTACGGAATGTAATCATCTTGAATCAAATGAATATCACAACAAGAGCGAGCTTGGCTTACATACGATACATATCGTAGTTCCTTGCTGATCAATGCCTCAGTATAGGTTAGTTGAGCTTTGGTGGGCTGCCCAGATACGTAACAACCCATTTTCGGGCTTACCGCTAAGCGAGAGCGCCTACAACTGCTTGATCTAGTCTAGCTCTTCCGCGCAAACAACGCCAAAACCATGGGAGATCTGCACCAAGCTAGGATGATCCTCGTGAATCTCCTCTTTCTGAGGAGAACCTCGGATATTACACACAACCGGGCCAGGATTAAGCATAAGAGGCTCATCAGATAAAGGGCGGGGGAGCACATTAGAGTTCACAGCCGAACAGGCCTTTAGTCACTGATGAACCAGAGCAGCCAATGTTATCAACAGGCGTGGGGGCAGTTTATACGATTGACCGTGTCGGAAGCTTCTGTGATTATTCCAGGGCCTCCAACTTCCTAATGTAGCAGCACTACCCCATAGTTCTTGAACTCTAAGTGAGGCATCCGTGGTAATAGCGGGGATAGATAACGGCAATTACACTGAGGAGAGCTTGTATGGGAATAAACCGTTGCCAGAGTATAAATAAGAGCAGCCACTCGCAATAAAGATAACTTTATCATAAACTCAAACAACAGTTACAGTTTCGATTGAGTTTTCGCAATCATACCGGCACCATGTTACCAAAGTTTATCACCAACATCCTCGTTTCAGGCGCTCTTGTTGCTGCAGCCACTCAAGAGCCCCTCCAGCCCAACCATTGCGACGTTGCCTGCCAGCTTGCTTACCGCAAGGCTCTCGCTCTCGAGGCCAACCGCTGGGTCAACCAAAACGTTTCAACAGACGATTTTTATTCCAACCCGTCCAACCTCTCCGAATACTCCGCTGGTGATCTTGTCAAGTGGGAAGATGTTCCCGCTGACCAAGTCTCCAAGAGATGGACCCTTCCCGGCGGAGTATCCATGTCTCGGTTCTTCTATATCACCGAGGACATTGATGGCAAACCCATTCCAGCTACTGGGTTTGTCTTGACGCCTTACTCGAATCCTCTTGGAAACGATAAGCCTTTCCGAACACTTGTCTGGACTCATGGAACTGCTGGTGGCACGCGTCAATGTGCGCCGTCAAATCACCGGGCTCTCTATTATGAGTGGTCAGGACCCTTTGCTCTTGTTCAGCAAGGCTATGTTGTCATTGCACCCGACTATGCTGGACAAGGCAGTGATATTCCTCAGGGCTTCATGTATGAGTCTGGTGCACTTCACGCTGGAGACGTCAGCTTTGGACTCCAGGCTGCACGCAAGGCTCTCGGAAAGCGCATCACCAAGGATTGGGTTGTCATTGGACACAGCGAGGGTGGTATGACTGCATGGAGAACCGACGAACGAGAGGCCAAGCCCGGTAAAGCGACTGGTGGCTTCCTCGGTGCTGTCGCACTCGCCCCAGCTCTCCAGCCCATCAAGCTCATCCCCGAATCCTTCCGTCGGGCAAAGGAAGGTCCAGCTGGCGATGTCGTTTCTATCTTTCTCCTTCAGTCTATCTCGCGTCTCTACCCTTCCATCAAGGTCGAAGACTATGCCACTGACATTGTCCTCAGCCGCATCGCCCTTGCAGACCAAGGCTGTCTTATCACAGGAGGTACACTCTATGGTAGCTTGACCGTGAAGCAGCTGTATAAGAACACTAGTTGGGTCGAGCATCCCGACTTTGTTGACTGGCAGAAGCGTTACAACGGCGCCGGAGAACACCCTCTTGCAGCACCTATGCTTGTCATCCAGGGAGATGATGACATTCTGACATACGCTGAGTATGCCGAAGAGGACTTCAACGCCACCTGCAAGAAGTACCCCGAGTCAACTGCTGAATACAGACTTTATCATAAGACGGATCATGGTCTTGCTCTCTCAGTTTCCATGGCCGACTTCTTCCCCTGGATTGCTGACCGCTTTAACAAGGTCAAGCTGGACAAAGGCTGCAAAAAGACCATTATTAAGCCTGTTACCACCAACTTTGGGCTGACCAGCCAGGACTGGCAGGTGGAGCTTTGAAGATCACGCATTAATGCAATGAGATCTGCACTCCATTCTTTGGCTTGTTAAAGTACTAGGATATTTGTTATTTTGTACATACGTATGCAGCATAGTCGCTATACAACAACAGCTTTTTACATACAATCTCCCGCATTGGCGCCTACAAGAAGGCCGATGATATAAAAATGTTCGCGCCATTTCATGTAAAGGTTAACCAGTAGAGGGCATATTTTGCTGCTTTATTTGAGGGGGTGAACTCGCCGTCGCTGCTTTTGCGAAGTCAGTGTAGTCCTACCACAGGGGTACAAGGCGGTCATTGAGATCTCAAAAACAAGCCCAGCGACACGTTTCACATTAATCCAATCAGCCAATAGTGTTCTCAGCGGGCTTTATCTTGTTGATGCAATACGTTGGTGGCTTCGAATTTGCGAGGGCGGGGTACTTGGGAGGCCCACCAGATTCCTGTACCACCCAATGTGTGTTCAGTTCCCTCTGTCGGGAACATGTAACCAGTACTTTTATTTATCTTGATTAGGTTCCCCTTGCTCACTATTGATCATAGTTCCTGACCTCTGTATCATAATGGATACTTCATCATTAATACTGGCCCTCCAGCTCCAGCAACAGGACCTAAGCCTATGGGAACAGTCCAAGAAGGGAAAGCAGCGCGAGGGCGAAGTGACAGATTCCGATCTTGCTCTTGAGGCTTGTCGCCACGAGATTGAGCTTATGACGGCCCAGGTCTCTGATCAAGTGTTGGCCCTCAGTATTGCGAGAGCTGTCGAGTCGGACGGGCAGCTCATCAGAGAAGCTCAGTTGGCAGAGGAGCAAGCTGCAAAAGATCGTGAATATGCGGTCAGACTGGCTAGAGATCCAAGCGCAGCAACACCGTCAGATGCTGAAAAGGGGATGAGAGTCTCAAGAGTGGACGAGGATGAGGATAATTTGATCGACACCTTGAGATCAATGAACCTGGGTGGGTTCGAATACTCAACTTCTGGGCAGCCTGAGTCATCGGGCTGGGCTTCATCACGCAAGCCGCCTCAAACGCTAGAGTGCATCGCCTGTAACGACCGGTTCCCGCCTCTTGCACTGTCTAAGGCGCCCTGTTCCCACGACTACTGTCGAGAATGCCTCGTTAGCCTGACTCGTTCGTCGCTCCAGGATGAGACTCTATTTCCACCACGATGCTGTGGTCAGAATATTCCCATCAAACAAGGACGCTGGTTCTCGCCAGAACTGGTCGGGCAGTTCCAAGCAAAGAAGCTGGAATTCGACACCCCCAATCGTACTTACTGCAGCGAGCCATCCTGCTCAACATTTGTACCGCCAGCCTTTATCTCTGGTGATAGTGCTACCTGCCCCAAGTGCAGTCGAAAGACTTGCACTCACTGTAAGGGATCAAATCATATTGGCGTCTGTCCAAGTGATACCGCCTCACAGCAAGTGTTGCAGCTTGCAGCCCAGAACGGCTGGCAGCAGTGCTATAAATGCCGAAAGCTTGTTGAATTAAATTATGGATGCTACCATATAAGTAAGTCCCGGAGCGGCTAAGCATGTTGCGGGGTTACTAATCTGTAGCATAGCCTGTCGTTGTAGCGCTGAGTTCTGTTATGTCTGCGGCAAGAAGTGGAGGAGTTGCCGTTGTCCCCTTTGGGAAGAGGGGCGCCTGGTGCGAAGGGCTAATGCCATTGCTAACCGAGATGATAATTTTGGCCAGATGAACGCGAGGGCACGACAGGCACGAATTGAACAGGAAAGATTGAATCTGATACAGAACCATGAGTGCACGCACAGAACTTGGAACTACCGTGGTGGCCGTCACCGATGCGAGGAATGCCGTGACATCCTCCCTCACTATATCTTCGAGTGCCCTCAGTGCCATGTCATGGCCTGCAGGAGATGTCGATATAACCGCTTTTGAAAAGCCTGTTCTGCAGGCATGCGTGATCTGGGCATCAAATATTCAGAGAATGGATATTAGAAAAACTTAAATATCAGCTTCAGTTCCATGACTATGATGTGCATAGATTGATAATAAAGTTACATTCTATAGTTATAGTAAATAAATTAACTAAAAGATAGCGCTCGAAGAGAGGCCCATTAGCGGGCACGTTAATAAGGCGCGCATGGTTATACACTGCTCAGAGTCCAGCCCTGCACTCGGATCAAGTATTTCTGGACACTTTCCTTACTGAGTAACCACATTCATACTAGTATTAACATTGGGGTATTTTGACTCCTCCTTCCAAGCTTCTGGTGCTTTGCAAATCCTGATATCCTTCCCTTTTGCTTTGTACATGACCCTATTTTTACAGTTGTCGCAAATGTGCTCAATATCAAATGACCACTTTGCCATGTATGGAGCTACTGCTCCACAGACTGTGGTCATCAGCAGCGCAACAGCTTGTAGACTGTCGTTGGTCAGCTCAGGCTCTGTCAAGGTGACGTCTTTCACGTACTGAGTTGTGCTGGAGGGCTTCTTCTTCACTATTGTTTCGCTTCGGCGTAGACAGAACGGACAATCGATGGCTTCCGGTTGGTCCCCAAGAAGATGTAGAGGTGTCACCGTATTTGACCTAGGAGGAGCAGGTATGACTTCCAAACCAGAGGCATATTCGATATTTGTTTGTGATGTTATACTCATGGGTAAGTTGTCGCGATTATGGGCGTATTCCACGAGGGCAAGTTCGGGCGCATCGTGCATGACAGCTTGTGGAAGGCAATCGGAGTCGGCTCGAGGAGGAAGTGCTACCTCGAGTGTGCTATGATTACGAGAGTCGAGATCTGTTTCGGTGACGGGGGGTAATGTAAATGACTCGGTCGATCGAGAGGTTATAGGGGTCATGGCCATTGGTGACACGGAGACATTGAAGGCGACGGGGCTGGAGGTTGTTGTCATAGGAGACACAAAGCCATCTGTGGTGAGAGGATCTGTTGTAGTTGCCTCAGAGTAGCTTGGTGGTGGTAGAGGACTGTTCGTGTTAGTTCGAGACATGTAGAAGGCGATGATGCTTCTCACCCTGCTGGGACATGGTACAATTGCCGGTCTTTGGAGTCCATTATGGGAGAAAGGTAACAAGACAAGTGACAAAACTTGGCAGCATTCCACTAGGAAGAGCGGGAGACAAGATATTTAACTAGCTCAATGCAGGCTCGAGTACCCCGGCCCATTAGGCTGATGTGTTCGGCATCGACGGAGCTTCTCATCAAGCGATCCTCCAACTAACAATTGTGTCGAGGCCCTACGAGGCTAAGCTTAGATTAAAGTGAAACTCTATAGCATCTCGGCCACGCGTAGCGTGCGCAATGATCAACCCCAGATCCGTAATGCAATTTGAAAACATGCCACAGATGCCACTAACTAAAGGCACAATCCGGTACCGAAACCGAAACCGAGTGCGGCACCGAAGCCCCTCGGCCAATCAAATCGGTCCTGTTCCATGAGATAAAGACGATCAATAGGCCCCAGACTGAGCCTTGAGCCTGGACTTGAGCCTTTCTGACGTCCCTGAGGTTCCAACAAGCTTATTTGGTTGGGTCGGGTTAAAAATAGTGCCGGTAGGGCTGGTTTTCCGGGTAATGCTATGTCTCTAAGCCTCAGAGCTCGGTTTCTCTTTTGCACTTTGCAGGATTTTCGAATACGTGTATGAGAATCTACGGTAACTGCCGCGTAATGATAGAGTTGAGACTTGTTGATTCATAATGTTTTGAGTCAATTGCGAATGTTATAAATGTCGGTCTTGCCAACAATGTCCAGCTTTATCATCATCTCAAGCCTCAACATCCTCACTCCATTGTAATCACACTACCGCCTCTTTGTCTTCACTACCTTTACGAACTCTATCAAAATGACGCCTGTTTTCCTCAAAAAGATGGAGCCTTTTTTCACCCTCCGCAACAAGATCCCCCTGCAGATTGTTTTAGTCACCTTGATCATTACAGTCATCACCCTCTCGGGCGTGCGACTCATCCTGCCCAATCGGCCCCCAGGTCGCTCCACCACTATGGGTCTCGGCATGGTAAGCCTATTTTCCGACACACGATCTCTCAGATCTAACATGTTTCTTCCAGGGTGCCAAGTCCCTCATCATCCTGGCCTACGAGATCCTCACCGAGCACTCCATCCGCTTCCATCGTTGGAGCAGCCTCAAGGCGTACTTTATCCTCAATGCTATGGAGGTTGTCTTCTGGGCGGCTGTTGCGTTCATGATGATCCGGGGTAACTCTCAGCTATGTGTCGGAACGAGCTGCGCGCTGGGTTGGGTTGTCTTTGTGCTGGCTGGTTTCTTGAGGTATGTCTTTCTCAACACCCATAGCAGATTATGACTAACGAATCAGCCCAATTTACAAATACCTTGCTGTGGTCACCTACTTGGACTGGAGGTTCTATAAGAAGAATGGCTTTCCCCGCGGTACGAGGACGAAGAATACGGATGAATCCCTCAGCACTCTCCGCTCTGATGACACCGCTTATCGCCACTGAGAAGCGACACGATGGCTGTGATAAGGTTGAGAGGGTAAAAGAGGCAGGAAGGCAGGGCTGCGTTACAAGGTTTTGAAGGAGTTACCTGGGCTTATATGAACTTGGGTGGAGTTATCGTTCAATTACACATGCATTCGTTTGGCTTTTGTATTGTAGTTATTCTTCCATTTGTTCTTACATGTAGATGGTATATCTCTCATTAGAATCAATGCACTTGGGCATTTCTATCACATTCAACAGCTGCCAAACACCACTGCAGCATGGATGACCATCGTGGTTCCATCTCATTCCTGATGTCTTGTAGTACCGGCTTCCCCCAATTTCTCATAAACCATTGTGATCTTCCGACTCGATCCAAGATAACACAATAGTGGGCGAGGATACAAAGAGCAACAGGGTGCCGCTGCTTGATGAGGTCCAGGAATTCTGAGCTCACAGATAAACACCAAGTCATGGCGATTCGCTCGTCAGGCGCAGCCGTTGCCCCTATGTGGTTCTCTATCCAGATGATTGCTGATGCGATCGATTCCTG